GGCCGAACATATTCAAAAAAAAAAAAAAAAAAAACTTTTTTTTTTGGTTTTTGATTTTTAACTCGAGTTTGGTTACGAATTTGACCATACCTCCAAGGCAAAAGTTGTTTGTATTATTTTTTTACATAGCATATATTGTTTTCAGATTTTTTGGAGAAACGTTTTTAAATATTTTTATGTTCGCGTTCGGAGAGTTTCGGCGCTCGTTCACCTTCGGTCCCGAACGTTCGGGTTCGGTCACCGAACCTGAACACGATGCTACACAGCTGAAAACCAAGGTTCCGGAACCACTAATAAAGAAAAGCAAGCCGAACAGGCTTATCGGACCTGACTCAGAACGAATATCTAATATTCCCTGGAAAGAATACAAAAAACTTGAAAAAAGTTAAAAGTTCATAAAACCAATAACAAAATCAGGAGCCTGCAATTGCTCACAGCATAAGTAGCCTTACCGATAAATCAATGGCTACATGTCAGACGAAGAGAAAAGGAACCAAACAGCGCTGACATCTTCAAAATACGCTCTGATCAAGAAAGTGAAGACATGCCATGATACACCGCCTAATCAATTGCGAAGCAGCCACATAATACTGGGCAAAGGGCATCGGGCCTTCTTCTCCCCTCTCTCTGAACACCCTCTCCAATTGCTCCTCTGGACTAACTTACCGGCCAACTTCGGTAAACCTGAAAAGACCTGGTTTGGAATGATACGCAAGGTCATGCTTTTTTTTGGCCCATATGGAAAGAGTGATGCAGCACAAGGCTGGAAGACACCAGGAACCCATGCGAGGAAGTCTGGGCGGCGACCAAAGGTGTGATTGAAGCTGAGATTCTGAGCCACTGGAAGAAGATCAAAATCTGGGCACAAAGCAATCCAGATACAGAAGACGAGGTGCTGGCAAAGATCGAGCGGTATGGTTGGCAAGGGGGGGGGGGGGGGGGGGGGAGCACGGCTGGAAGGCCTCAACTTAAGGTGGAAGAACTGGCACAAGTCAGACTTAACTTCAGCTCAGGAGGCCACTCAGACACAAGAGAGCTCTACGCTGTTATGGGTTTAATACGATAAACAGAGAGACTACAGGAAAATGAAGATGCAGCCTATACATGGTTTAAACATGAGCATGAGGGCATAAGAAAGGACCATGCTGAATCCCAAACTGCACAGCAGTGGGTACAGGGTCCCCACTCGCTCTCAGAAGTCTAGAGCTTCAAGTAGAGCTGGCAGCTTGGGTATATCCCAGCTTAGAGGACTTACAGAATAGTGGCAAGCTGACAGTCAATCCTCCATGGAAATGAAGCAACCAATGCTGCTCAGGGGTCCTTCGGCCAAACGGAAGAAAGTGTGCGTGTCTTGCTTGATGTACTTTGATGATTTGCCGGTGGAAAAGGAACCGGACTGATGCCCCCCAGAATGGACATGGAACCAGGACCATAAGGCCCTGTTTTATCAACCAAAAAAAAAAAAAAAAAAAAAAAAAAAGATACTCCCTTCCCAGGAGACCAAGTGGCACTGTTAATGGGCATTGAACCAGTGGGGAAATGGCCCTCATTCCAGAAACAGTCCCTCCAGCTGTTAAGGCAATACGCATTACGAACGATCTGGAGGAGGAGATGCCAACGAACGATCGGAGGAAGACCGATGCACAGGCAGGAGGCGCAGCAAACCTACTACAATTTATTGGAAACGGTCATAAGGGGGCAGTGGCACAGAACACGGAAGCAAGCCAAGCAACACCCGGAAACGACCTGGGATATAATAACCAAGTTTCAGAGCAGGACCAACTGGGCCAAGGGAGGGTGGCAACGGTGGAGGGATCAAGAATCCAGTTCCAAAATCCAATGGTATACAGAGAGGTCCAACACACCACAACAGCATCAGCAGGACGCAGAGTAGGCATTACAGCGAAAGAAGAGGGTTCAGGGTTTAGGGGAGGTAGAAGGGAAGAGCCCGCAGGAAGAAGGGAACCCTCAGGCCAAGCTCAGGGGAAAGGATAGGACACATCAAGGAGGCAGGATTAAGGATTATAAGGATTTGGAGGTCTAGGGTTTCGAGAGGGGGAAAGGCTGAAATGCTGAAGGGCAAGGGTAATCATCGGGCAGTTTACATCTTCTTGGGTATCCGTAGCCTAGTTTTCTTTCCTTTGTTTCTGTTTAACATTTTAATTGTCCAGTTGATGATTTCATTGAAGTTGCAGACTTTGGGACGCTGGACCCGGTTTCCAGCACAAGCCGGATCTGGGTAATGGCCCCAGCACTGTTCCGGGTTGAGATGTTGAGGAATTCCCGGACTCATTTTTGCTCATATAATTAAAAAAAAACAAAAAAAAAAAACGGGAACAGCCCTTTGAGAATATCGTCGTACTATAGCTGGTATGAAGTTTCAACATCAGTGTTATTATTTAGGGGTAACTCTTCAGTACAGTCACAAAAACAGTTCGAAATGACACTTCAGGAATTCCCCCGAACACAACACACCCCCACGCAACCCTACCCGACCGGAAAGCTAACTTACATACATTGCCCAAAGTGCAATTTGAAACTGTTTTTTGCCCAAAGTGTATTTTGAAACTCTTTTGGGTAACTTCAGTACAGTCAGAAAAACAGTTCGAAATTACACTTCAGGCATTCCCCCGAACACAACACACCCCCAAGCAACCCTACCTCACCGGAAAGCTAGCTTAAATGCATTTCCCGAAGTGCAATTTGAAACTGTTTTCTGCCCGAACTTCCCGAAGTGTATTTTCAAACTCTTTTTGCAACTCCCACGTAGTTTCCCCTATTATTTATCAATCAATAGCTCTGGCTGTTAGAGAGGATAAAACAGTTGAAACTATCATAAAAGGCATACCCATGCGGTTCCAATATGTATCTTGGACTTTCTGGCATATCTTCCACCTCGGCACCACGGTTCCCCCATGAGTTATGATCGAGTCCATGTTGTAAGGGGTCTTGATGTCATAAGATAAGATCATATTAACATATTGTGTTAAACCACTGCCATAGCACCTTTGCCGGTTGGGAAAATAGCGGGCCTCGGGTGGGCCTTGGACCTTTTAGGAGGGCCGAAACGAAACGACTTCCAATGATCAGATTTATCAATGGCAGCCGTGCTTGGGCCCGGCCTCCGACTTTTTAGGAGTTTGGGAAGTTTTCCTTACTTTCCCAACACTGGCGGAGGTGCTAGTCCGATTAAATGGTTAACCAAAAAAATACGAAAATGCATTGCGGAACATGAAGACATTCAGAAGAACTCGTGGAGTCCCAACACATGTAAAGCCTACCTAGCAAGCTGATAATCTGGGATGTGCAGACAATGTGTGCCACTTTCTCTGCAAAGGCATCTGCGTTACGGCGCTGGACTCGTTGGAGATGAAGAAGATGCTCCACGTACCGTGCAGAAACCTCCACCTGAGTTACAAAACACAAACATTGCATTCGGATCAACTCTTCCATTACCAATACAGCCAGTATCTAATATCAAGATCCTGCCTGTGCAACATACAAAGGGGGTAACCCAACCCCATCTGGCCAAATGGTACACACATGTAATTGTTGATGAACATAAGTTTGAACCCTGATGGAATCAAATAGATACAATAAGGTTAGGGGCTACCGGGGGGGGGGGGGGGGGGGGGGGGGGGGGGGGGGGGGGGGGGCATACTAACTAAGGGGTGTTTCAGTGGGATCAGCTTTGTATCCAATTGCGAAGATGACAGTCGGTAGATATGTTGTTATGTAACAAATGTATGCATTGTATGGCCTTTCCCGCAGACTTTCTATCGTAGACTTCCTGAAGTACACAGGCCAACAAAGAGATCCTGAAGAAGACAAATCGTGTACTTTATGTCAAAAAAACACAGTCAATCGTTGTTCTCCTCACCTCACGCAAGCTCAGATCCTTATTGAACTCCAGAGCACACTGCCACATTCGTTGCATTCTTGCCATGTTCTTGTAGTAGTAGTCATCAGCTTTTTGCCATGTGTGCCTTGCAGTCGATACTGCCATAGCCATATGCCCAATCTGTTCTGCTTTGTCTTGATATATAACATCCCTGAATATAGCCAAAGACGCCGCCACAGCAGGTGTGGGCTGCTGAAACCAGCTCTTTGCACTTCGCTCACCCTGCATCCAAAACAGTCAAAAGCATAGCCAGCAGCCATGTTGTTTTCGTCAGTTTTCTTGCCTAGCTGAGTATGCGTGTCCTTGTGAGCACAGACCCACCCACCACACACACACACACAGATAGATAGATAGATAGATAGATAGATAGATAGATAGATAGAGAGAGAGAGAGAGAGAGAGAGAGAGAGAGAGAGAGAGAGAGAGAGAGAGAGAGAGAGTAGTGATGAGAACAGTGGTGGTCCAGTGGTCACCTCAGGAATGGCAGATTTGTGATGAGAAAGGCCAATCTGGCGAAGCATTTTCAGCAGGTCCACGAGCGCCTTCTTCTTAACTGCACGTTGTTTCTCCATGGTCCGGAGTGCATTTGCTCTGACAACAACTGCCTCTGCAAGCTCTTCTAATGTACTCGCACCTTCACGTCTTGCTGCCATTGCACTGGTGGACAGTACGGCCGACTCGATCAGCGCTGCCATTTTAGGAGCCAGGGATGGAAGCCGATTCTGGTAGAGTTTGTCCTCCTCTGCATCCATCATCCCCAAAAGAGTCCAGAATAAGAATGTGTTTGCAAAGCAACAGCAATGAAGCCATAGCAAAGATGCTACTTTTTTGAGTTTTTAATTTTTTTTTTGCTTTCTCTTTTTTTTTGAGGGAGGCGGGGGGGGGGGTGAGGGGGAGGGGGAGAGGGAAGGGGAGGGGAAGATTCTTTTTCACCCCTTGGAAGAACTTTCATAGACTCAGGCTATTGGCGTTGCTCACTTGAGTGTTCTTCACTTTGCCATGGAATCCATATCAAATATTCTGGATAGGTGGAATCGATCTGGTATCAGGTATAACCAGTCCAACTCAGCCCATGTGGCTGAACGGTACACGCATACAAAAGGTCGCGATCTAACTTTAGAGTAAAAGAATCTTAGAGGAAAAGATGGCGCGATACATTCACCATTTTTTGCATTTGGTGAGTGTTTGAACCACTCTCCAGATGGGGAACACAAGCTAATCTTGTTTGAAATAAACGCCGACAAAATACATTTGACACTTTTGATTATTTGTCGTGTTATTCAACAAACTAAAAAGTGTTTGGACCCTATCGGATACAATAAGGCTAACAGCTGACTCTTTTAAAAAGGGTATAGCCCGGGATTCTAGAGTTCCAAACGTGAGACTCCGTGGTGGCGGAAGAAGTTTGGATGGAACAAGAGGGAGAGTCCTGGGCTTCATTCCCCTGAGGTTCAAGTAGTGGAAGAAGCTTGAGTGGAACTCGGAGGGGGTAGTCGGGAGTGTGGTTTTGGGCTTCCTCAAGGTCTTAAGATGGAACGAAGGCAACGCCTGTGGCTGGGATCATTTACCGAGTCTAAAGCTTTGGCCAACAGTCGAGAGATCCAAAGATGTTTTCCCACTCTGCAACTCCAGGTGTCTGCAACAGAAACGCCGCCATTCCTCTGCCATTTGCGCTCTGTAAACATTTAGTACAACAAGAAACACGGCTGGTTAATTTGGTAAGCTTGAAACTTGAAGCCTTGAACCCATGAGAGCTGTCCAACCAAATGCGTTAATTGACAACCCGTGAAAGCCAACAAAGTGACCAAGCGCAAAGCAAGTTGAGGGCAATCTAGTGCACTATAGACAAAGGACCTGAAGCTACTCAAACAACACCGCAAACAGTCAACAAGTGTTTTACCACTACTGCTGCTACCTCCGTGTACACAGGAAACACCTGTGGCTTTTTGATAGTCAGTCTAGTCAACCAACTGAACAAAGGTGGGCCTCCTTGTAAACAGGAAGGCAGTAAAAGGTAACTGTTGATTGAGCGACTCTTTCATCCGCAAAAGAGAATATCTGAAGTGAACAGCAGAGGAAAGCCAATGATTGACTGTCTGTGTCAGACGACAATAATCAGTTCAAATACACATTCATGCATACAGACTTATGAAAGCTAAAGTAAACATTCATGCATGCAGACATCTGAAATTCACACATACCCCTCGCACCTCCTCCCCCCCCCCCCCCCCCCCCCAGTTTCCCCCCCCCTCCCCCTGGCATCCACCCCTCCTCGGTCTCCATCCTCGCGTTCCTGGTTTCCATCTTTCTCTGGTCCTGATACTGCACCCTCTGGGCATCTTGTCGCCATCCCCCCACTCTGTCAACCTGGACTTCTCTCCATCTCCCCCCGGGTTGCTGTGGCCACAGAACCGGCAACACCTCACACTCCGAAGGTCCAATCCCTCTGCAGAGCCTGCACATTTTCCCTTTAAAGACGTGTTGAGTGAGGAGAAAGAACAGGCCAATATCGAATATCACCAAGACATACGACTACATAT